CTAATTTGCATTTCATTCAACAGGTATATTTCAGAACATTCAGTTTTCTTTTAATTTTTCTCACAAAAATATTTTGTATTCTAACTTACTTGCTCTTGGTTGTCTTAGCTTTTCGAACATTGATTTTCCAAGTGAAAAAATATTTCTTCATTCTAGAAAAATACAAATGGCAAATTTTTATCATTTCATAAAATGGTACCTAATAATTTCATTCCTGATAGCAGCATCTCCCACAATTATAAGGAAGTTTTACTCACCTTGTACAGCAAAAGGAAGTTACTTGCCCTGTGCAGTAACAGCTGTTCTTCAAGGTGTATGTCCCTGTGGCTGCTCCATGTAAGGTGACAGGTCATCCCTGGAGCCACAGAATCAGAGCTTTTTCATGGCAGTTAGCAGTCAGGCCATGGATTTGTAGCAGGTGGCTTGCACTGCTGGAGGTTGGACATTTCATATGTGGCCCAACTCCCCCCTTCAGTTCCTCATCTTCCAAAGAACAATTTGACTTTGAGTAGCAGGGAGAGAGGGAGGGTCATGGAGCACCATGGGGACACATACCTCAAAGAACAGTCATTACTGCAAGAGGTGAGTAACTTCCTTTTCTTCTTCGAGTGATGTCTTTGTGAGTGCCACATAAGGTGTGACTACAAAGCAGTACTTACTATGGATGGCGGGAATTGGAGTCACTGTTTAATAGTGGCAGATAGAGCTGCTATAGCCACTGCTGTATCTGCCATCAGCCGAGATATGATGGCATATACATAGAGAAAGTGTGGTCAGATGATCAGGTAGCTGCCCAGTAAATGTTTTTGAGGGGCACACTGCTCAGGAACACCATGGATGCTGCTGTAGCATGAGTGGAGTGTGCTCTCAGCAGCGTCATTAGCAGTTTGTTGCGAAGGGAATGGCACTGGAGTATGCAAGCTGATAGTTTGGAAATACAATATGTAGAAATTGAGTTGCTCCTGGAATAATTTGCCGCAGAGACAAACAGACGTGGGGGACTTGTATAATGCCTCTGTCAATATAGAAAGCCAAAGCCCTTCTGACATCCAGGGTATGGAGCATAGTGTGTCTGGGAGATATGTGTGGCTTTGAAAAAAACTTAGGCAGAACTATGAGCTCATTGATGTGAAAACAAGTGCTGACTTTAGGCAGAAAAGCAAGATGTAGTCTCAGACAGGGGTGGCCTGTGAGCATAGGCAGTCTCGGCAGTCGCCTAGGGTGCCGCCGGCATGGGGCTCCCGATGATGACATCATGGGGCGCCCAGGCGCCCGATGATTCCGTCACAACCATTGATGGCCATGCAAGCGGGGGCGCCGATCGCGCCTTCCGCCTGGGGCGCCAGCTGCCGCAGCCGGCCTCTGGCCACTCCTGGTCTCAGAGTCACTTTGTCTTTAGCAAATACTAAAGTGTATGGTGGGCCCGTCATTAGGGCTCCTATCTCGCTAACCCTCCTTGCAGAGGTGATGGCTACCAGAAAAAGTACCTTTATTGTGAGGAATAGGAAAGGACAAGTGGCCATAGGTTTGAAGGGAGGTCTCATAAGGGACTCAAGAACCAGGTTTAGGTCCCATGAGGGTGATGGGGCCCTGCAAGGAGGGTAGAGGTTTTGGAGTCCTTTGAGAAATCGTCTAGTCACCAGATGCGCAAATACTGATGACCCTTCACAATGTAGTCATGGAAGGCCGTAATGGCTGCCAGGTGTACTTTAGTGGAAGAATTTGATAGGCCACCACTCTTCAAGCCATATAGATAGTAGAGAACCACATGGAGTGGGGCTCTGCTAGGATCAGCGTGTGTCTGATGACACTGAGATGCGCTTTCATTTTTACAGGTAAGTTGTTCTAGTAGATTGCCTCATGCTATGAAGGAAGACAGTTTTTATTTGCCCAGAGCAACCCGATTCAGTGCCACAGAACCAGACAAGAGCCAGGCATAGGAACGAGGTTGAGGGCGAAGTAGTTTGCCCACATTCTGGGAGAGATTGCATCTGTGTGGGAAAGGATACGGTAATTCGATGGATATGCGCTGAAGGTATGGGAACCAGGTCTGTCTGGAACAGGATGGGGCCACTAGGATGACTTGAGCTCCATCTGAGTGAATCTTGTGCAGGTTTCTGGGGATCAATGGTACTGGAGGGAAAGCATAGTGAATTGGTTCATACCCCATGTAATTAGGAACACATCTCCCCTGGATCCTTTGCCCATTCCCTCCTGGAAACAGAAATGAGGGCATTTGGTGTTGCTCTTGGTTGTGAAGAGATCCGTCATCAGATACACTCCATTTTCTGCAGATAGGGCTATCACTGCGGGGTGAAGTTCCCACTCATGATCTAAGGCAAAATTGCAGCTGACAGCATCCACCATGACTCTATTGACCCCTGGTAAGTATGCTGCTTTTAAAAAGATCCCGTGCTGGATACACCAGTTCCAAGAGCCGGATAGTCTCTGCACAGAGGGATTGGGAACAAGCTCCACCCTGTCTGTTTATGTAAAACATGCTGGCAGTATTGTCTGTAAGTATGCAGATGGTACAATTGGTAATGGCCAAGAAAGTGTCTGCATGCATTCCTGGCCATTCTGAGCTCAAGTAGATTGATGTGCAGTATGGCCTTGTGGGGTAACCATTTGCCCTGTATCATCTGGTGGTGCAGGTGTGGGCCCCACCCTATCCATTGTGATCTGTAGTGATGGGTCTGGTTGGAGAAAGGGAACCCCGGAAAGGAGACTGTGGGGGAATGACCACCATTTGAGGGAGTCCAGCACTGGCTTGGGCACAACTACAGGCTTGTGCAATGGATGTTGCAATGGTGTATATAGCAATGCCAGTCAATGCTGGAAGGCATGGAAATGTAGGCGTGCATACTGGACCACCATGTGGCCCATCAGCTGGAAGCAGGTATGGAAAGTCGTAGGGGGGGTTGTAAGTAGAGTGGCGGCTAGGTTGCATAGCATATCAAATCTTTGCTGCAGTAGATATGCTCTGGCTGATATGGAGTTGAGGGGTGCCTCTATGAACTCCAAGTCCTGTATGGGATTAAGAGTCAACTTCTGCTTATTTATGAGGAGCCTTGAGGAGTTGAAGAGTCACTTGGTCTTTGATACCATTTCTGCTGAGTCTGTTCTCATGCACCCCTTTATTAGGCAATTGTCTAGATATGGGAAGATCATAACCCCTTGATGCCAAAGGTAGGTTGCGGTGTCTGCTAGGGCTTTTGAGAAGACCCACAGAGTGGAGGATAGGCTGACGGGGAGGACCTTGTATTGGAAATGATTATCCCACATGGTGAATCTTAGGTAGCATCTGAGGGCAGGATGTTGAAATATGAATCCTACAGGTCAAGGGCTGTGAAACAGTCCCCTTTCTCTAGTGCAGGAATGATTGAAACTAGTGTGACCATCTTGAAGCACTGTTTTCGCAGGAACTTGTTTAGTTTGCAGAAGCCTAGAATTGGCCTCCAGCTCCCTGTGTGCTTCTGAGTTAGGAAGTAATTTGAATAAAACCCTCTTCCTGGTACAGCTCAGGGACCTCCTCTATAGCTCCTAGCTGAAGGAGCCGATTGATCTCTTGCTTGTGAGGTATCTGGTGAGAGGGGTCCCTGGAGAGGTACTGGGAAGAGGAGAAGATGGGGGAAGGGAAATTAACAGGATTGTGTATGCCATACGGATGGTTTCCATAACCCTCTGGCTGGATGTTATTGAATCCCAATGAGGGAGGAAGGGATCAAATAGATGTGTCTGGTTTTATTGCACTGGAGAATCAGGGAGATCGGGCAGACGCTCGACCAATGTTTCAAATTTGGATACCAGAGGACCATGAGTATTGTGGGTGCTTCCTATGTTTGCATTGTCTTGAATGATTGTATTTATATGGTTTGTTTTGAGGATGATTGTAATGTATGTCCTTGCTCCTATTATAGGGGCAGTAGCGCTTCTGTCTGTATGGTGACATGTACATGCCTAATGTGCGCAGAGTGGTATGTGAGTTCTTACTGCTGGGTTGGATCTCATCAGTTTTGGCTGCAAGGATCTCATGCTTGTTGAATGGGAGGTCCTCCACCTTGCTTTGGAGTTCTTTAGGGATCCCTACAGCATGTAGACATGATGCCCTCCTCATGACCACAGCTGTAGCAGTTGCCCTTGCTGCCGTGTCAGCCACGTCAATTGCTGAGAGAATGCAGTGCAGGCAATGGTGTGTCCTTCATGTATGACTGCCCTGAAGACGGTTTGGTGAACCATGGGCGTTCAGCTTGTGCACCCAGTTGGTATATCAGCCTGGAGCTGCATGCTGAATGTGGGAAAACACCCCCTACAAACACAGTCACCGCTCCAAAATAAACCCACTAACTCATTTCTGTTGTACAGGAAAAAACTCCAGGCCCATGTGGCGACTCTGAGAGGGTATGTCTACACTACTACCCTAGTTCGAACTGGGCTTCCTATTCCGAACTACCTGTACTCCTCGTTCTGAACTAGCGGACATTTAAAAATGGCGGCGCCCGGCAACATGCCAATGAAGCCCGGGAAATTCAAATCCTGGGCTTCATTTGCAACTCCGGTTGCCTACATTACCACCCTAGTTCAAACTAGGGTGGTAGTGTAGACATACCCAGGGAAACCAGGGCTGTCTGGGCCTGCATGGGACTATTACAATGAGTCTGGCTTTGTCCCTTCTTAGCTTGAGTATTATGCAGAGAAGGAGAGGAATGGGAGGGAAGGTATAAAAGAGTTGTTGTTCCTTTGCCTATGCCTGCCCTTGAGCAGTATGGGGGCATTTCTTGTTGGTACTGGTTGCAAAAAGGTCTATTAGAGGGTGATCCCAGTGTGAGAAGATTGTGTCTAGAACATCGCAATCAATCTGCCAATCATCCTTTTGGGGCAGTGATCAGTTTAATGCAATGGCCATGGTGTTCAGTTCACCTGGTAGATAACAAGCACGAGGGTGATGTTGTGGGAAAAGCATCAATTCCGCAAGGTAATAGCTTCTGTACACAGAGTATGGGAATGGGCGCCCCTTTGTCTGTTTATGTAAAATATACTGGGGACATTGTCAGTGAATATCTTGATGTGCTTGTGTGCAATTGCCAGAAGGAATTGTAGACAGGTTAGTCGTAAGGCTCTTTGTTCCACTAAGTTTATGTGGAGTGACTTT